TATATATATATATATATATATATATATATATATATATATATATATGAGAGGCCAAGTATAATATCCTGTGGTTGGAATTCGGGGAGCAGCCTTTTTTTGACAGTTCGTTCACCAATTTGTTCAAATTGTTGTCACCATATTGGCCACTATGGATGCTTCAATTCCATGGAGATTTGTAAATATTACAGTACGAGGCTAAGCTAGGGCATCAAAGTTTCTATGCAACATGATTTGCCAGATTCGTTTTCAGTATTTGGATAAATTATTTTCTTTATTATCAATTCTGCATCTTCCGCAGATTATGAGATTCATTAAAATTAGGAAAAATTGCAGCAGTGGTCCCTAACCTATTCAATTTTTGTAAATTTTACCATAACTTTCAATGTGCCAATGGAGGTCCATAATCTTTCAAAAATATGCAGTTGGAGTTCAAATTGATGATTTACATCCATCTGATCGTTAGTTGTCCAAAAAATTAATTTTGACCAAATTTAATAAGAACAAAATGGTAACTTCATAATTTTAATATTAAAAAAAAGAGATAAAAATAAAAAAAATAGCTACTATTATGAATTCTCGCCCCACCCTGCAAGACAAAATCTAGAGAAAATAGCAACTTTGTTGTCACCACCCACCCACCCTGCCTTCTTCTTCTTCTTCCATAGCCACCACCATATTTGCAACCTATTTCACCTCCTTCTCCAACCTTATCCCCCACCCATCTCCACCTCCATTTTTCTTGATTTTTGTCTATTTTACATAGAAAATTTTCTATTTGCCTTCACACTCGAAAATCAGGAAGAATAGAATCAATTCTCACTGATTTTCATTGTCTAAGTTTGATTCTAGAGCGTTTACATGTTGACGGAGCCAAAAATTGGGTGGATTTCAAGGGCATTGTCATCACAGCTACACTATCGCAATGGCAATAGCCCTGTCGAAAACTTGTACACAACCAAAACCATGATGTTCACTACCCTACATGAACAACAACGTACATCGAAAATTCCTCAAGTTGTATCACCAATTTGGATTTTTTTGATAAAAATGGACATGAATTCGACTATGACTATTGAAGCTGATAACGATCTATCGAACATGCCCACCTCTGCCAATGGTTTGGCCCAACCCATGACGGGTGGCGATGTCCAATGTGAGCTTTTAGCCTGCAACTCTTAACGAAATTTGGAGGTTACATGGTTTGCTACGAGTTTTTGTAGTTTGTTGGGGGCATTTCTTGGTTTTTCTGTGGTAGTGGAGGTGGTGAATAGAGGGAGTTGTGGCAGTAGTGGTGACAGTGATCAAATGTGATGATGGTGGTTGGATGGTAGTGTCTCACCGAAGAAGAAGAAGAAAAAAGGTTGGGGGTTTATATTTTTATATTTATTTTTTAATTTTTAATTTAATTAAATAACTTATTTAATCTGAGAAAAATATAAAGTACCATTTCACCCTTTTTAATTTGGTCAAAATTGATCAAATTTTTCATTTTTGGTCAACTAACAGAAAAGTGGATGAAAACCATCCATTTGGACTCTAGCTGCATATTTTTGAAAGATTGGGGAATTCCGCTGGCACAAACTGAATGTTAGTGTAAAGTAGGCAAAAATTGAAAAGGTTAGGGACCACTGCTGCAATTTTCCATTAAAAATATGAAGTCAAAAATTATAATTTAGCTGTGTGCTTCCTATTTGTAGACCAATAGATTGGTATAACTTTGTTCTAGGTTTCAAGCCTCAAATGGATATTACTTGGCAGCTTGTGAGTGATCTGTTCAGAGATCGGCAGCACCAAATATTTACTCCTAGAGAAACCAAAACTGTCACATTATAACAGTTTTTCAAGATAAAAAAGAAAGAAAATAGGAAAGAATAAACAGGGAATCTCTGCACTTGTTTTTCAAGTTCGTCAATCACTGGTGCAGAGATCCAAGCAGACTAAAATGTAGTTTTCAGAGAGAGAATGCCTGATAGAAAGCCACAGGCCCAAGTGCCAGTATATGATTACGGTTGTATTCTTTTCCTCAACTCACTCTAAACTAAGGTTAGAACCATGAAGACTGCCGACAAGAGAAGAGTATACAGTGTCATCAGGCGTCAAACCAGCCTCAATCATCTCGTCATATAATTTGAAAGCTTCATCTGATCTTCCCTCTTTTGATAAGCTTGAAATCAATGCCGTGTACGACACAACACTTGGAATTAATCCCTTTGTAGGCATCTCTTTGAACAATTTCAGAGCCTTGTCAATCTGTCCGACTATACATTCTCCATGGAGAAGAGAGGTGTATGTATAAACATCTGGCAACAATCCCTTAGCTTCCATCTCCTTTCTTAGTATATATGCTTCCTTCATCTTACCTTTCTTGCAATATCCATCTATCAAACTATTGTATGTCACATTATTTGGTTTTTCTCCCTTATACTCCATCTCATGGAAAATCCTCTCTGCTTCAACAAAATTCCCTTCCTTGCTATATATATCAATAAGAGTAGTGTAAGCAACAGTGTTTGGGGCCACGCCGTTATCTACCATTGAGAACAGCAAACTTTTTGCTTCCTCGTGCTGATTTAGTCTACACAACCCAGTGGCAATTGTGTTGTAAACATACACGTCTACTTCAAGTCCTTTCTGTTCCATAACACCTTGAAGTCCCCAAGCTTCACGGATCATCCCTTGCTTACAATAACCATCCATCAGTGTATTAAATATTACGCGGTTCAAGTCAATTCCTTTACTTTGCATCTCATTGAGCAAAGTTTCAGCCGCATCCATTTTCCCAGCTTTGCACACACCATTTATAAGAGAACCATAAGTTTGAACATTTGGATCGAGGCCTTTCTCCACCATCTCGTCAAACAAAGCAAATGCCCTTTTCACATTACCCAACTTACAGTACCAACTAATCATTGAAGTGTAGACATGGACATCAGCCTCTACTCCATTCTCAATCATTTCCTCAAACGTTTTCTCAGCACCTTGAATCTTGCCAGACCTCAAACACCCATCAATCAAAAGAGTATAAGTTGTCACATTGAAGTCCACTCTTGCTTCCTTCATTGCGGCTAAAATATTTTCCACTCCACTAAAATCAAACTTTTTTACATATGCATCTATTAATGTATTGTAAGTATATGCATTAGGTTTGATCCCTTTACCAACCATGTCATCCATCAATTTTCTCGCTTTATCAACCTCTCTTCTTTTACACAAACCATCAATCGCCATAGTCATTGAATAAACTGTAATTTCCACATCTGACTCCACCATTCTTTGAAAGAAATTAAAAAATAACTCAGATTTATTGCATCGCTTGAGTGCAATCAAGTAAACCATGCAAGATCGCTCATCAATCTTATATTCATTATTAACCATATGTTCAAAAACCTCCAAACCCTCCTCAAACCTCTTATTATCAGCATAAACTCTGAATAACATATCAAAGAGCTTCACAGTGATTTTGGGTTCTTCACAACTTTCACCCACTAATGAAGCTATCTTTGAAACTGGGCATCTGATGTCACCATTAACAACAACAGCATTCAATATATTCTTGGCCTCTGCAAATTTTCTGGTTTTGACTAACCTCAAAATGAGTGTAATATGGGCTTGAAGATTTGGTTTCTGATGCGTGAAAGACTGATTGGCTTGCAGGAATTTGAAGAAGTGCAAGCAAGACCACGCTGGAACAAGCGGATTTGAGAGAACGAGGTTGATTATGCTGGAATTAAGATTTGAAATCAGAGCTGGTGGGATTAGGAGAGATTTTGGAGTAGAACTAATCAAGGCTTTTGAGACCAAATTGGCAATTCCATGATCTGATTTTGAAGCTAAATTTGTACTGAAAACATTTTTCACAGTATTGTAAAACTTTTGGGTTGACATTGATTTTTGTGATACAGTGGGCTTTGAAAACAAGAGACAATGAACAAAGCTTAATCTTTTGCTTCAGAAATTTAATGCTCGGCCAAGTACTGAACATAAGAAACAATCTACATACCACACAATAAATGCACATTTCCCATCCAGGAAGCTCTGACTACTTCTTGTTCTCTCAACTGGAAAAACAATCAAATGACTCTGTTAATGCAAGGTATCCAAGCATGAGACATCAACTTTTTTATACTAAGGGACGAATGCACAGGAGTTCCACAGCCTTTGGATAATTTGGAATTCGGATTCTCAATCTTTATTTCTTGACATCTAGGTCCTTGCTTTTTCAATTTTGTCTCCATGGAAAAAATAGACACAGATATTTTTAACAGATAAAATTAGAATGTTTTTATAAAACCAATAGCTGAAATTTCATCTAGGTTTGACATCTAGGAAAAGATACAAGTTCATGTCTATTTGTGAGTATGTGCAAGACCGAAGGATAAAATTACCTGCAGACGGCAGAGAAGAGCCAAACAAATAAACTAATAGAGTATCGATGGCCCTCTGTCTCTGGGGACGAATGTCGTGTTTTGATTTGAACTATTCATTGGGAGTCTCATAACAAAAATTGCTCATATACACCTAAATACAACAATAAAAAATAGTATAAAAAATGAAACAAGTTTTTACAATTGTTGCCTACAGCGTTTCATACTTACGAAACACAGTATAATTGCCACATTATCAATCTCATAAAGAGCAATGCAAGATTTCATCAACACGTGGAGGGATTCTTCAAAGTTAGTACATGACAATAACAAGACTAGAGTGATTGGCATAGATGAAACAAGATTACAAGGCATACCACAATAAAAGGGAATCGATATCATTAATATACAGATTGAGAAAAATTAGTAAAACCTGCAAGTAATAGATATAACAAATACATCTATTGGATGATGATGTGCCATCAAACGATAACAAATCCATCCAGTAGTTTTCACTTGTCATGATATACCACATCCATCTGGCACATTTTAAAGAACATATAAGAAAATTGGATGAAGATATGCCATGAATTATTTACACCAAGTAGCTAAGACTATTTGATAACGCATTCCATGCGCGCAGTAAGTTTGCTTTTGGAATTTGGAATGGACACAGAACTCTAAACTGTAGATATAAATAATAGCAGTATAATAGTTTCCTAATTTCATTTTGAAGAACTCCAATTTCATCCTGGCAAAAGTAGTGCAAGTTCAGTTCGTATTAACATCCTAAAAAATTATAAGTTCAGTCATGATGGTCAAGTTTTTCATTTATTTCGCAGAATCCTCATCTAATTGCTCCATCAGCTCCACATTATGGAATTCACAAACTTAAAACTCAGTTTATAAACCATAAAAAAATCATAAACTTCATTGATAAAAAAAAATTGAATGAATAAGGAGCAATATCTAAGTCAATCTATGTATAAGAATTAAAATACACCATGTAAAATAAAATCAAATGAAATACCCATTGAAATTGCAGAAACAAAATAATAAAAAGGATAATAATTTACCTAAACAGCTAAACAGGAAGGCAGAAGACGGCCGGATTGTTGGCCTGCTGTTAATTTGGCGATACCAGAAACTGAGAGGGAAGGAAGATGGGATTGATTTGGGAATGGGGCGTAAATTGATTTTGAGAAATATGGGCTAGATTTTGGGTTCAATTTGGGATAGGACAACTTACAAAAATATTTCGGTATTAGTAGAAATGGTCCCTATCGTTTACATTCATTGCTAAAATAGTCCCTATTGTTTCAAATTTGATATTTATGCCCTTATTTCAAACCTTTTTGGGGAATTGGTCCTTCCATCCACTTCCGTTAAATGAGGCAAAATGGTTTTGATTTTTTCTTATTTTTATCTCAATTTAACGAAATTATTACGGAATGTCAAATGAAGTCGAAATATTCCATTCTTAATATCATTTCGAATTACTCACGACCTAGTTTCCTACATCCCTAATGGCGTACGAAACAATCAATCGTAGCGAAAGTTATCATTCATCGAAGTAGGCCGTTCCAAACTATATTAACGATTTTTCTTATTTTTGTCTTAATTTTACAGAATTATTACGAGATGTCAAATAAAGTCAAAATACTACATTTTTAATACCATTTTGAAGTGCTCACGATCTAGTTTCCCCCATCCCTAACGGTGTGCAAAACGGTCAAGCGTAGCGAAAGTTACCACTCGTCGAAATAAACAGTTTCAAAATGTATAAACGAATTTTCTTATTTTTGTCTCAATTTTGCGAGATTATTAAGGGATATCAAAACGAAATCGAAATATTGCATTCTTAATACAATTTCTAAGTGCTCACAACCTAATTTTCATCATCCCTAACGGCGTGCGAAACGACCAACTATATCGAAAGTTACCACTAGTTGAAGTAGGTCATTCCAAAATTGAGACAAAAATGCTTTTTTTCTTATTTTTGGAACGGGTTACTTCAACGAATGGTAACTTTCACTATGGTTGACAGTTTCGTACGCCGTTAGAGATGTGGGAAATTAGGTCATGAGCACTTCGAAATGATAATAAGAATGCAATATTTCAATTTCGTTTGATATCCCGTAATAATCCCGCAAAATTGAGACAAAAATAAGAAATATTGTTTTTATATTTTGGAACAACCTACTTCGACGAGTGGTAACTTTTACTATGTTTGTCCATTTCGCACACCGTTAGGGTTGAAAGAAACTATGTCATAAGCACTTCGAAATAGTATTAAGAATTGAATATTTCGATTTCGTTTAACAACCTGTAATAATCCCACAAACTTGAGACAAATATAAGAAAAATTCAAAACCATTTCATCTCATTTAACGATGGATTTAACTGAAGTGGACGGAAAGGACTAATTCCGCAACAAAGGTTTGAAATAAGGGGATAAATATCAAAATTAAAACGATAGGGACTATTTTAGCAATGAATGTAAACGATAGGGACCATTTCTGCTAATTACCCTTCATTGAACTACCAATACCTCGGAGGTCCCTTTTTCTCGATTTAACCCATCTTTATTTTTTCTCTTTTTATATTTTTTTATTTTCCAATATGAAGAGTTCATGTTTGAAATTTTAAATTATTTAGACTCGTGTGCAGAATTACACAATTAAAAGAAACAATTTACTTTTTAATTGTTTTTAGATGATTAGATCAAACAAGTTAATTTATCCAAAGTTTGAATACCACAATCAATAATTAAAGCAGTAAAGAACACTAAAGGTGATCATGGAGAAACTCCAACTGGATAAAAATTCGGGCACTTTACTAGTCATTAATCCACTATAAATTGAAGTAAACTTACAGTATAGTCGAGACCCGTCTATCTCGTAGAACTTCTGACCTCAATTCCTCCAGTTTCCCTTGATCCTACTGGAGAGGTGCTCATTTAAAACAAATCTCGACTCCTGGTTTATACCTTAACCCTCCGGACAACGTGCTCATTATGCTAGATCCTGACTCCTAACATGTCACCTTAGTCCTCCTGAATTTGTGCTTCTGTAACAGCTTCCGATCCCTGGTATCAATTTCTATCCGGTTGATTAAATGATTTGGTGTTTGATCAAAAGATCTTGTGTATTTTGATATGTGGTTTAATATGAAACAATATGGCTAAATCAACATATCAAAGTTTAGATGAAATTATGGCTCAAATAATGTGGTGGTTGAATCTTGGAATCAAAAAATGTTTTGGATCATCAAAGAATTGATTTCTATGGAATAAATCTGATTCAACAATCTTTTGGATGTTCATACATATATATATATATATATGGGGGATGAAATGAATTGAAAAACCATGTGTTTGAAGCAAAATAGAATTCTAAAAGTTGACCTCTCGTTCGAGCGCCAAGCTAGCGACAGGCGAGCAATAGTTGAGCAATCGTCATTANCGGGTTTTTTTGCCATCCCTAGTTACACAACCACTATTCCTCCGCTTTCTCTGTCACCACTACTACTATTACTAGCAGACCAAAGCCTAAACACAAAAAATTATACACATAAAACAAAAGAAAAACGAACTCAAACATGGACGCATTCCAAAAATTGACAAACATTGAAATAGTGACCAAAAAAAAAAAAGCGGCAAAACACTGGTCAAGACTTAAATAATATCATTTTATACAACTTCAACCACTCTACCACCACTTCACCTTCTCCACCAGAACCACTCCAATATCCAAGGCTCCAAAACCATTTCTACCTCCTTTCTCCAATAACCACAAAAAACCAACTAAATATATTTGAAAACTCTGCAATTAGAAATGCTCAACCCGTAGAAAAAGTTCATAATTTGATAATTAACCCTTTAGCAATTTTGTTACTTTCATTGTTCTTTTGTTGAAGGCATCTGAAAGTATTTTTTTAATTATTTTATCTTGACCTCCGATTTTTGTAGTTGGTTTGAAGCTCGATTGTTTTTGAGAAATCCATTTTCTCGACAGCACTCATACAATGCGTCTAGAGTATGTCTTCCATACAGCTCGAGAAAATATTTGCAGCAAGCAGCTTAAATCAACCTCAGATCTCGACCACCCTGGTCTTGGCACCTCAGTCGTATGCAGCAGTTCAATGGTTTGTCCATCACTACACACCTAGTCGACAAAAACCCAATCTACCGTCAGCTCGTCAGCCAAAATGCCAAAAGCAGGAAAATAGACTAGATCGGTGCAATGCCATCAGCGTTGTTGCCGCGGCGTCATCGCAGTTGTTGTAGTGGTGTGCACGATTTTTGTGGTCTCTGTTCTCAATTGAGAGATTTTAGGATTTTGGGGTTTTGTTTTAATTTAGGATTAATTAATACGGGTTTATGTGATGTTTCCGAGGATTTGGGGATATTTAAACTGGATAAATTTTAGTTGGACCACTTTATTTGGGCTTAAAAAGCCAATTGGCTTGGTATACTTTGCCCATGCTACAGGTATGTGTAGTTGTGCCCGAAATTAGGGT